GACTCATTATGGGATCGAGGTCATCATTCATCACTATGTTGTATTGCGTGATCTCGCCATGCGGACCTTATACGTCATCAATACGCATTTAATATAAGTTACCACTGTTTCAATTTATACTAGTAGATATCTTGTGCACATGCACAGATATACACATATCAGTAAAAAATATTTGAGAATTTAATATTAAAATTCTAAATAATAAACATATTACAGTTTCAAAAATTTAATCATTAGGAAAATAAATTAACGTTTTATTATTATTATGAATAATTGTTTATTATCATTAGATAATAACAGTTTGATTATTATTATTAAAAATATTTTTATAAGCTTCTAAAGTTGTTTGATTATGCTATTAAAACAATTTACTAATTGTTTTTAAAGAAATTTTTTCATGAGATACAAAAGAAAAAGATAATATTAATGTTAATATAAATAACTTGAAACAATTGTTTATAATTATGTAATTTATATTTATTGTGAATTTATATAATATAATAGAAAAATACATGATTACACTTAATATGATGTGTTAATGTGAGAAGTAAAAAAATATTAATGATAAATTTTGTAACTGAAAATAGAGGGAAAAATTTAGAGGTTTTATTAAATAGGTAAAATTAAATGCTAAGCTAGCAATTATATATATATATATTATTAAAAGACAATTATTTATAAGATTCTAAAATTGTTTAACTATGCTATTAAAATAATTTATTAATTGTTTTTAAAGAAATTTCTTTATGAGATACAAAAGAAAAAGATAATATTGATGTTAAAATACATAACCTGAAACAATTGTTTATAATTATGTAATTTATATTTATTGTGAATTACTATTAGTTGGTATTATATAATAACTATTATATAATATAATAGAACCATACATGATTACACTCATTAAGTTGTATTAATGGGAGAAGTAAAAAATATTAATGACAAATTTTGCAACTGAAAATGGAGGAAAATTTTTAGATGTTTTATTAAATAGGTTTTATTAAATGCTACATGTCATCAATTATA